AGATATAAGATGTTAGCGATTAAAGTGACATTAAACCCTCAGATTTTTTAACATAAACCAATACTGTAATGTGCGCCTTACTGTAATCCATGGTTGTTTCCCTTCTCTTTGCTGCTCTTCCTTTTAAATCTGTATCTCTTCTCATGCTGGGCAGAACTTCTGTTTTGCAGCAGACTGCCTTGTCTCTGGAATGGATACATGGTGTCTGTGTGTAGGTTCACAACCTGAGCCAGCACTACAGGAAGAGGCACTCAGCTGCAAAGGGAAGTTCTCCCCAAGCATGAGAAGAGATACAGATTTAAAAGGAAGAGCAGCAAAGAGAAGGCAAACAACCATGGATTACAGTAAGGCGCACATTACAGTATTGGTTTATGTTAAAAAATCTGAGGGTTTAATGTCACTTTAATCTATTTTATTGATTGTATTATTTTGCTATAATTTTATTAACGTGATTATTATTATTTTTAATATTTTTAAATCAAAAGCTAAAAGCCCGTCATACTTACCTGAATCCGTGGTCACGTGATATGCCTCATCGATCTTCTTCACTGCAAAAGGAAGAGGGTCCTTTTTCGGGAGTCCACCAAATGACGTCTGCTCCTGAAGACTACAGTGACTGTAATGTCAGGGAGAGGGGCAGTAATAACACAGCAGGCCTCGTCCAATGATGGATCACCAATTGTCTCTCACAGAAGAGATGCTGCAGGGCAGGGGTAGCCAAACTCCGGCCCTCCAGCTGTGGTGAAACTACAAATCCCATGACGCATCTCTCTAGGGAATCATGTCTGTGAGAATCTTGCAATGCCTCATGGGATTTGTAGTTCCACCACAGCTGGAGGACCAGAGTTTGGCTTCCCCTGCTACAGAGGGTCACGTGATGGCGGACAAAGTTAAAAAACGTTGTTAGGTTTATTTCTGTTTAATGGGGGAATGTGTGGGCAGGTCATATATATATAAATAAATTAGTTTCTTTGTATACTTTAAAGCAGGGGTGGGGGAACTCCGGCCCTCCAGCTGTTCTTTAACCACAAATCCCATCATGCATCTGCCTCTGGGAGTCATGCCTGTGGCTGTCAGAGCCTTATGGGACTTGTAGTTCCACAATAGCTGAAGGGCTGGAGTTGCCCACCCCTGGTTTAAAGGATAAATACAAATAGGAACAGCCATTTATGCATATTATGTGCACAGGTCTAGCTTCCCGCATAGCTAATCAGCGCAGCGATTGTGTGTTACTGCGTCACTCCAGTTCAGTCTAGGGCTGCAGCTAATGATTATTTTCATCATCGATAAGTTGCCTGATTAATCGAATAAATAATCGATTCGTTGCATTTATTTAAAAAAAAACTCTCTCCCCTACGGAAGAGCCCTGGGCCATGCTACAAAAAATATGAAACATAATTCTGTGTTTTAAAAGTCAGAATTCTGACTTTCAAACACAGAATTCCGTTTCATATTTTTTTTAGCATGGCCCAGGGCTCTTCCGTACTCCCCCAACCAACTAATCAATAATGAGAATAGTTGCCAACCATTCTTATAATTGATTATTATTGATTAGTTGTGGCAGCCCTAATGCAGTCCCATGTCATCACAAGGTATGTTATCCTGCATTTGGTTTTATCACTGCAACTGATCAGCAAGTATACAAATGTACGGATCAGCTACAAAGGGGAAAAAGCTACAAATCTGTAAATAAACCGCCATCACGAGCATACGGATCAGCAAACAAAAATGGGAAAGTCACCTCAATATTGACAATTTTCAGGTTTGAATTAAAGTAGAACTATGAGATGAGTGCTTTTCACTCACCTCATAGTTCTAGCCGACCTGTGACAATGAGACTGTCACAGGTCGGCTCAGTAGATCGGGAGGTGAGCGAACACACACCGGCGTTCGCTCACTTCTCGATCCTGTCACAGCTCTCTGCAGTGACAGGGGAGGGGCTGGATTCCTCCCTCCCCTGTCCGATCCTCCAGCGCTGACGGGCAGAACGGACGGGGGAGGGGGCGGGCACAGCTGGCTCTGCCTCTAGATAGGCAGAGCCAGCTGTCACTCATGCAGCTGGGCGGATCCAGACAGAATGTTTATGTCCTCCCGTGACCCTGAGGAGAACTAGGAGGAAAAACACTTACTCCATAGTTCTCCTTTAATGTTACTTTAAACCTGCCCTAGAAAATGCAACTCTATAAAAAAAAAAAGCTGTAAACATTATTGCTGGTTGTAGGGAATACAGAATTGTTTGAAGACGAATGGTAAATGAGGCCGAGCCGTGACAGATCAGGTTGGAGCTACACAGAAGAGGCTGATCGCCAGGCTGCACACGCCTGACACATGAACTGGTGTTTGTATATGAACAATAACCTTCCTGCAACATGCAAATGTTATAATTACACGCATGTCAAAGGCAGATAACATCGCAGGAAGTGGGAGAAACATCAAGAGTGGTTGTGAAAAGAATGAAAGTGCATGTAAAGCCAAAATCTTCCAATTTTAAAGTGGAGAAGGATTAGAACCCCTGTGCTCCCACTAGGTCAGGGAAGGGACCTCCGGCCAAAAAAAAAACTACTTAAAATGACTTCAAGTAGAACTGAAGGTGAAACTTTGTTTTAGATCTGGACAGAGTGGAGAGGGGTTAGAACCACAGCCAGGTTTTTACTGCAGTCTGTGTCACCTTTCGGGAGAGTCTAAATGTCCTGATCACCAAAGAAAGAAAGAAAGAAAGTGAGGGGCAAATCCAACATTTTCAGTTGCCACCAAAAAAGGAAAAATCTTCCAATGGGGACATCTGCTCCAGTGACAACTGTCTAAAAGAGCATCTCCCCCACCACTGAAAAGATATGCTCTCACTTCCTGTTTTGCCTACAGGACAGGAAATGAAACCCCACCACGCATCTGCCTCTAGGAGTCATGCCTGTGGCTGTCAGAGTCTTGCAATGCCTTATGGGAATTTGTAGAGTCACCAAAGGGATGAAGTTTGGCTACCCCTGGCATACATCTACCTCCTCCTCTTCAGCCATTGGGCGGCCACTGATGACGTTGCATCGCCCCCGACATCTGCACGCCTCATATAGCACACAGGAAATAAACTGCTTGGGGAAAGAGAAAGATTTTTTTGGGGGGGGGCAAATTAGACTTTGCATGTCCCTTCTGCCAATGATCCCAACTTCCCAGCAATTCTTTTTACTTTTAGAGTTTAATTCCACTTTGAGTAGCCAAAGAACAAGTCCGTCCAACAACACACACACAAGCATAGGTTTGTTTACACACATGGAGCTATTCGCAGTGACAGCAGGGATAAAAGGGGATGTATATACTTTATACTTCAAT